AGAATTTTGTATTTTCCTGCATAAAATAAGTTTTGCCTCAGTAGTGCTGCAGTTACGCCTTTTGCCCACCAGTGGCCGCTGTGGCACGAGAACAGCCAGCATGAACGCAGCCCGCTGTTCTGGCCACACAGCGGCCTCTGCTGGGCAAAAGGCAGAACTCCAGCACTTCTGGGGCAAAATGTTTTTTATGCGGGAAAAGAATCGGCCAGACTTTATCACTCAGGGTGAGAATTTGCTAATTTATACCCTACCTCGCTAGTGTGTTATGATCAGTTTGCGTTTTTTGTTTATTTACTAAGGTAATCTGCTTTGTTCTGTTTGCTAGCCCTGATCATCACTTAAAATTTACCTTTTGTACTTAATAAACTTAATTCTTGTTTATTTCAAAACCCAGTTTGTGTCATTCATATGGGGGGGGGAATCTGCGTGTCTCCCTCCACATTGAGGAAGGGAACTTGCATGGTACAGCCCTCTCTATACTGTACAAGACTATATAATTTTGGGCTCACACTCCAGAGGGTGTGTGCATAGTAGCTGCCGATGGCGCCACGCCCGGGGCTCTGCACGCAGGGTCCTGGCCCCGCATGCAGGGTCCCAGCCTTGGCCCCCTTACCCATCTGTGTCCCCCTACCACCAAAGCCATGGTCCCGTTCCTGGCCCCAGCTGAAGGGGGGGGCACAGAAAGGACTAAGGGGGGGGTGAGGTTAAAAGTTTGGGGGGGACCACTGGCTTTCAGCACCCCCACTGTAAAAATTGTTCCAGTGCCACTGGCTCTCGGTGAAGCCTTTAGGAAGACAAACTTTCTCCTTGACCTCTGGAATGCCGTTTCACAGCATAGCATGAGGATAACCACCTTCTGAGCAAAAGTGCAATTTGCAAAGGCTTTCCATGAAACAGACCTAAAGAATGGCTCAGCCTCTCTGCCCAGAGATACATCACTACCAAACTCACTCCAGCACTGCATTACCAAGGGGGGAGGAGGAGAACTCAGCTTCATGACTTCCTACGGAAGGCCGACGCTACACCGATGGATACTGCAACAGGCCAGCGTCCCTGACCCAGCCAGCCCAGGTTGATTATCAGACCCTGATGGGAAGGGACCACGTGATTATAAAAGCCAGCCAGCAGCACAGTTAGGAGAGCTGCAGAAGGAAGGATGTGGTCCTGGGTCTAGTGCTGGACCAAAGAGATGGGTGTAGAATGAAAGGACTCTGGGCCCCCGTAGCCTGGGTTAGCCAGGAAAGTAGCTTGTTTTGTGTTCCTTGGGAAGTCTTTTTTTGACTTGGGCAGCAGCCCGCCAGATACCGCAGACACATCGTGCCCTTTGGGTTGGATAGACAGGCCGATTTCGATTAGATTCACTCAGTAAGGGTATGTCTACACTGCGGTAGACATCCATGCCCTAGCACACTCGGGCTAGCCCCCTGAATCCAGCGTTGCCCGAGGTATGTTCTCAGGCAGCTAGCCCCTCCCACGGCTTGTGCCACAGCCGCCATGCTGCTATTTTCAGTGGCCTAATTTGATCAGAGCGAGCGCAAGGACAAGCTGAGACTTACACTTCCCGGAGGCTGTGTAGACGTACCCTAAATTCTACTCCGGATCCAATCCAGGGCCAGCTCTCGGTGTCGCTTTGCCAGTGCGATCTCCTAGGGCAGAGCAGAAAGGCTGCCACACGCACTGATGGGGCTTACCGCTGCTTGAAACAGGGAGAAGAGTCCCTCATTCAAAATGCACCTTGTAGCTATTTACCTCCAGCAGGTGTGAGCACTGGGGCTGCTGATGGTTGAATTTAAGGCAGATCCCCAGGGCAAATGTAACCCAGGCCTGCTTGGTGTGGCACTCTGTCCCCCTCTAGTGGCACCTAGACTAGCACTAGAGATTGATGAAAGTTACAGCAGTGACTAAGAAAGAGAGGTCTTTTAGCTCATGCAGTAGCAGTTCATGCATTAAGCTCCAGAGATCCCAGGTTTGATCCCAGCTGATGACAACCTCATCTGTCAACTTTACACAAGCAAAGCCTAAAACCAAAGTTCGCTTTGGGAACCTTAATGACTGTGTCTAGGTGCCAATGAGTGGCCTCCTCCCAGGTGCCCCCTTGTGGCCACTGCAAGTGGTCCCTCGCCGCAGTTTCCCCTCCTAGTTCCGCAATAAACTCAAAAAGGACTTTGCAACGCCAATAACAGCATGCCTTAGGGTCTGGTTGAGTAACTTAAAATTCAGAATTGAACACAAAAATCTTCCCTCCAGCCTTAAGCTGGGCCTAAGACTTTCCTGTTTTGGTAGGCTACTCCCAGCCCTTCCTAGTATGGCCAGCTCCTCAGAGTCTTCCCTGTAGGAGTCTGTCTCCAGCCCTCCTGAGCTTCCCCACGGCTTCCTACTGCTCTTCTAGGGGAATCACCTGCTGGCTGCACACGTGTGCCTACTTAGTAAGTAGGGCTGGCCAGTCCCAGGCTTCAAGCCCTTATGGGTATGTCTGCACTGCAATTAGCCACCCATGATTGACCCATGCCAGCTGACTTGGGCTTGGGCTAAGGGGCTGTTTGATTGCAGTGTCGATGTTGAGCCTCAGGCAGTGACAATTAAACAGCCCCTTAGTCTGAATCAGCTGGCACGGGCCAGCCGTGGGTATCTAAATGCAGTGCAGACATACCCTAAAAAGGCAAGCCAACGTGTTAGCGTAGGCATGGAAGGATTCTATTTTTTTAAATCGGTAGATGTCGGTCAATGTCAGTTTCACTGTCCACACACAAACTCATGAAAAAAATATCTCCATGGATAATGACCGGCCTTTACAGCTGGGCAACGTAAGACAATGCTGCTGGAGAACTTACTCGAGTTTGATTTAAGGCTGTTTCCTTTGCCGAGTTTGACATGGGATGTTGCCAGTTTGTGGCTTAATAGGTACAACGCTCTTAAATCTCATCATCTATGGTCATTACATAAGTGTTGATTGACGCCCCCACCCCATAATTTTCCTGCAACTGAAAATTTCAATCTGTAAAAATAAAAGATATGCTTAAAAATAAACATGGATATTTGTGAGGAAACGGTTTCTTTCCTTTTGTTATGTTATACATGAACCTTAATGTTGTGCATGAATACTGTGTGTGCCTCAGTTTCCCTGTATATTACACCAATGCCTAGGTGGTGGGGATAAGAATAAGAATTGAGATCCTCAAGGATAGTTGAGGCTCCTCCAGCTGCCTGTACGCAGGCTGTGGCCAATCCCCTTTGTACCCGGAGAACCAGGAGGGAGATGCAACCAGGTGACACTTTGTCCAGGAAGTAAGACAGAGAACTGAGATGGGGCAACAGGTGTGGCTGCTGGAAGCAGAGCAGTCTTCCGTTTTGGGGCTCAAGGGGGAGGGTCAGGACCTCAAGGCTCTGGCATTCCCTCCCCCCAAGATGGACTTTACTGAATGGTCCTGCTTTCTGTGTTAACAAGCTCTGTTCTACTCTTTGTTACTGTTGACTAATAAACCTTCTGTTTTATATGCTGGCTGAGAGTCATGGCTGACTGCGGAGTTGGGGTGCAGGGTCCTTCTGGTTTCTCCCAGGGTCCCAGCCAGGTGGACCCTGCTGCAGGAAGTGCATGGGGGTGCTAAATGCGCCGAGGCCAGACCCAGGAAGGCCTTAGCTGAAAAGACTTCATGGCACACTACACTAGAGTCCTGGCTGGCTTGATACAGAGCAATTCCAGAGCACATGGCCTGTGACTCCGTGACAATATTATCCATCAAAATTATAAAACAAAAAAACCTGATTTCTGCCAAGCCTGGTGCTGAGATGCTTTTGGGGTGGGTGCCCTAAATTCCTAACGCCTCTACAGGAAAGAGATCAGGAAAGGACCACTTGTTAACAATTTTATTAAACACAAAAATATTCACTGGTTACCTTCCTGTGTAGACAGCCAGGCCCACCGTGGAACCAATTACCTCCCATCATCATGTTTGTGAGTGTGGGGTGGTGGGGAGTGTCACAGATAATGTGGATGATTCTGCTACAGAAGCAGCCCAACCGTGGTTCGAAGACTTCTAAGGGCTGGTCCACACTAACCCCCCACTTTGAACTAAGATACGCAACTTCAGCTACGTGAACAACGTAGCTGAAGTCAAAGTATCTTAGTTCAAACTTACCGCAGGTCCAGACGCAGCAGGCAGGCAGGCTCCCCTGTCGACTCCGCGTACTCCTCTCGCGGAGCAGGAGTACCGGCGTTGACGGCGAGCACTTCCGGGATCGATCCCAGAAGATCGATTGCTTACCGCCGGACCCGGAGGTAAGTATAGACGTACCCTTAGCAAGAATTCTTCTCCCCAGTCGTCAGCCCAAGAGGAGTTCTCCAGGGCAGGTTTAGCTGCTTGTGCTATGCCTTGGAGGCAGGATTTGGGCCTGGAAGTGCTCTTATAGGCAGAAAAGGGACTTTGTATAAAAGCTTCTCCTGGCCAGAGTCATGAGTCCAAAATGCAGGGCCAGGACTCGTGGGTGCTATTCCCAGATCCAGCACTGGCTTGCTATATAACCCTGGAGCTGTCCCTACTCCTTGCTCCATGCCCCTCTTAAGTAAAGAGGGGATAAAAACAGTTACCCATCTCCGATGTTGTGCATGAGGATTAACTGGTTAATCTTGGCGTAGTGCTTTGTAGACAGAAGGCTGGATGGTCCTCTTCCATCACTTCTGACTTACAATAGTGTGAGATTGGAATCCAGCCCAATAGATCTGTTGAAATATGAATCCACAGGCTCTTGCCTCACTCCCCATGCTCTGATGCGAGGGATAGCACCGATGGCATGAGAGAGCTCCCTGGACTGTACCACCTTCACGGGGCGATCACCCCAGTTCCACTGTGCCTGGGGACACAGCGGAAGGGGCAAGTTTTGCCCTTAATGCTCCAGTACAATTAGTGCATATAACACATGCACTGTTACTTTCCTAACACATGCACTAAAATGTGCACTAAACCCATTTTGCAGATGAGGCAATGGAGACCCAGAAAGAAGGAGCAACTTGCTCAAAACCACAAGAAGCCAGGGGCAGCACTAGGAATAGATCCCAGAAGTTCTGATTCCCAGTCTCCTGCTGTACTAACCAGACAAAACTACTGTGACATCCAGTGTCTAAAGATCCACTAGGTTGACATGAATGTGCCCCAAATCCCTCAGATATACCATAGTGCCCCATTCACATCACTAACTGTTCCTTAGCCACTTTAATGCTTTGTCCGTGACATGTCATTGATGGTGCAGAGAGGTACAATGATGGGGAAAGTCCAGATCTTGCTTCCAGTTTTGTACAGGACTCAGATTTCTCTCTTCTCCTGAAGATCTTCCCTGGAGATGTTCAAAGACAGCCTGCTCCCTCTAACCACGTTCTCTCTTAAGCCAAACATGTTCTTCTGAGCCTCCTGCCTGACATATAACGGGACCGAGGATGCAACAGAAGGGGCTAAACTCAGCTGGGGAAGAACTCCAAGGAAATATATGCTAAAGAGCGTCCATTCGCCAAGGCTCATGCCGAGGGCTTCTTTGATTTCATTGTTGTCGCTGTAAACCAGGGCACGTCCATTTAGATTATGGTCCCTCAGCCTCCGTTTATACTCCTGGACGTTTTCTTCCTTAAAGCCAACTGTGTCCATCTGGAAGAGA